GGATGATCTCATCAGGCTCCAAAACGTCCTTTTAACATTATATCAAGCAGTCGCTACCAATCTATGGGAGGTCATAGGATGGTACAGGAGATAACCGTGAATTCTTAGGAGGCTTTTATTTCCTTCTGCAGCTAAATATACATCTAATTTGTACATTTATTTCTATAGTGGGATTTATGCATGAGGATATCCCAGAGATGTATACTGGGGTGGGGGTTTGAAGGTGGTCTCTACCAACAGTGTAGATGGGTCCTCTCACTGATTAGTAATTAGTTTAACAACAGGAAGCAGAGGGTATGAGAAAATGGCCAGCTCTCAAAATAGGGCTGCTTGTATCCTAAAGGTCAAAGTGAGAAGACTGGCCAATGGCAGGGGCCAAATGGTCTCTCAGTCATTACTTTTCAAAATGGTCCGCCTGGGCCCAAGCATCAGCCACTCTGTGACTACACAGAAGCTGCAAAAAGATCTACTGAGTTCCCAAAGCATGTTCAAATAAAAGTACGGTACTACATTTTCTGACAGTGTCATCGACGCAACGAACATGAAATTGAGCCAACTTCAGAGGACAGTGGAAGACAGGAGGGCCTGGCGGGAGCTGGTCCATGGGGTCGCGAAGAGTCGGACTCGACTGTGCGACTGAACAACAACTACATTTTCTCAGAGGGGAGCAAATTATCCTTCCACTCCAATAACTGGGTCTCAAGCATGGGAAACGAAAACAATAGTGATCAGTAGTTGGGCTTGGATTTTAATGAGCCACATAACAGTTCCTGTCATTTGGAAGAAAGCAAGGAGTGACCTCATTAAAAATGGATTTAGGAAGTGAGTATTTCATTTTTCTGTAATGACTCCATGTTTTTATTTTTAGACATGGGTGCCAAGGTTTATCTTTTTTTCTAAAATAACATGTTTGCTTGAAGGTTCCTATGGTTTGTGCCATCTCAGAATCTAAAACACAGGACTGCCGACACTGAATCTGGATACCCGTAATAAAAAGGCAAACTGGGCCCATCTAACCGTTCATGTCCCCATGATATTCAAGCAGATAGCAGCCTGCAGCCATCCTATTCTACTCTCAGTTTTCCAGCTCAGTTTTCTAAAGAAAGGGGTTCTGTTCCAGAGGTACAACATAGATGGCAACAGTTTTCCATTTGGCTAATAATGCATTACTTGCTTTGAGGCTGAGGGCCAAAACAGATATGATACTGGGAGATCTGTGAATGGACCTTCTGGTCATTTTTAAAGGGCCACAGCAGCTGCACAGGGCCCTCTTTGTATTGTTTTTTGAGACCCAAGAAGGTTCAATTAATTGAAACATTACAGAGATGTTTCAGTTTAAGATAAGCACATCTTCAGTATGTCAATACTGGAGTTGCTTTGGAGTTTCCTGAAGGAAGAGATGTATACTTGGAGGAAGAGATGAATACTTGGAGCTGCTTTGAGTTTCCTGAAGGAAGAGATGTAATTATGCTAATGCTAAGCTCACAAGCTATACAGATTTCCTCAGATTTCGCTTGACTTCTCCCTTTCCTGCCACAAATAAAAAAGGGCTATCTTGCAGTGATTTCATTTTTCAAGTTTCTTGTCCATCTCTGCAGAAAGGGAAAAGGCAGAGGCTCCCTCAATACAATAATCCGCAGAGAAAAATGTGAGATGTGGTGGTGGGGGTCTAACTGATTATTTAAACTGAACATCACCAGCAGGTACATGCTGTCATGTCCACCATATCATTTAGGACTGTGAATTTAAATACCACTTCTAAAGGGCAATATAAGGTAGTAACATTAATTAAAGACATAAATCTTCTTTCTACGCAAATATTATTCACACTTGTATATCCTGCCCTTCTTCCAAAGACCTCACAGTGG